ACGCACACACAAGGAGTTGCAATGATACTTTACAAAGAAGCACAAAAAGCACTTATAGGATGGAAATCTCATGCGTCCAGGATCATCAAAGCATTTTTCGAAACAAAGAAGGAGGAGAACACAATGAATATTGTTCAGAGTTGTGCACCGACCGATTACAGAAATGAAGACTATCATGATCAGTTTTATAAGAGGCTGCAATCAACCATAGAGAAGTGCTCAGGAAAGGACCTGACCATTCTAATGGGAGACCTGAACGCCAACTTCGAAATGGACAACACTGGGTGAAAATATATCATGAGAAGACATGGATTGACTGGGAGAAAGGAATGAGAATGATGAGAGCTTTGCAAACTTATGTGACTTCAACTAAGTGGTTATAGGTAGCGTTATGTTCTCAAACAAACACAAACTAAGCCACATGTGTCTCACTGGATCACACTATAGAGAACCAAATCGATCATATTTGAATTACCAAAACAATTCAGAAGGTCAATAGATGTGAGAACAAAGAGAGGAGCTGATATAGATTCAGATAACCAACAAGTGGTTGCCAAGCTGAAGCTAAAGAAGCACTGGAAAAACAGCGTTTCAATACAGCCTTCCTTCATGTTACTAACAAACTCAACGAATTTAAGATAACTCGTAGCAACAAAGTTTCAAGCCCCACAGGATCTATCTAAATAGGAGAAAACTTATATGGAGAACAACTGGAGAAGGATCAAATAAGTGCCAATCTCAACGTGCATTATGTGCCGGACTGCGAGAAACATCATCGTCAGAAATGGGTCTCTATCGAATTCCTGGACAAAATTCAAGAAAAGGAAAACTAGAAAATCTCAATTAACAACAATCGAACAAGAGTAGAGAAAGCCGACGCACAGACCGAATACACAGAAGCAAACAAACGAGTGGAGACAGGTACTAGAAGTGACAAGTTGAAATACGTGGAAGACCTAGCAATGACAGTGGAAAAAGCTGCAACAGATGAAGAGGAAATTAGAGAGAGACACTGGAAGTTTATGTGAAGTATATTGCGGAAATTATCAAACTGCATAATGAGGCAAGCGCTAACTTGGAATTTTGAAGGTAAAAGGGAAGGAGGAGGAGGAGTAAGGAACAGATTTCTTCGTGAATTCGATATGATTTCAAAAGTTTAAATTACTGGTAATGATCGCGTTTGTTAGATTTTGTTGGAAAATCCTTGTTTGTGGACTATGCTGCCGAACGTTCCCACTACCTTGACGTGCTAGTTGATCTTGCCTATCGTGATTATCCGGTCGGTTTATACTACTTGGAACAATTGTTTCTCAAGGTCCTACCCTTCCAGGTAGGTCGGTTGAAGTACGTTCAAACTAGAAGTAGCAAACCCAAGGTTAAATGACGAAATCGTACTACTGACTGTTGAAATGTGTGACTGCAGTGAATTTTCTCCTTCAGACCTATAGCGAAGCAGCTATATTGCTTTCACACAAAGGGATTATGGAGTTAAGGAAGGTCGACCCTGATAATGCTCACCTCGCCTTACGCTACAGATATGCGTCTCCGACGGTGAGGTCTCAGCGAGTATGGAGCTAACTCAAAAATCACCCACAAAATGGTTGTGTATGATCAGTTTCAAGCTGTCGTCCCTTGAACATTGCGGTCATGCTCTCAGATCACTAAGACCAACTGTTACCCTATTTTCGTCTCAGGTACCTGTAGAAGAGCCCTTCCACAGTGCTGGCGACCGGAAAGTGATATCCCTCCCATACCTCTAACAGCACTCAAGACCACTGCCCAGGATCAGAGTTAACTAACAACTTAGGGAAGGTAGCACATATAACAACATTTCATGCAACAAATTAAAGGTGACAAATTGGTAGATTTAAAATGTTGTAATCGAAGGGTTTGAAAGTTCATTTTTCTCTCCAACTTAACACAGAGCTGGTATCCTCATTAGTTCTACCTACTCTTTCATAATATTACATAAAAATACGTAATTTCAGTAATTTTATTGCTTGTTTTCGATTCAGTATGCTGTCTTGTACTTTAAACGTGTCGATTAATCACTTGATACATTCTTATGGTTACTCTTTGGTGAATAATAATATATTTATAAATGCATTTCAGACCTTATATTTGGTAATCAATAAATTTGTTGTAAGCATCAGTCATTGAAATCGTTTTGCTGAACACATATATCGAAAAAAGCACAACACATTATGGTTCATCAATCAAAAATCTAGTATCATGTTTGATTTTGTTATGTTGAGAGAAATCAGAAAGATAGCAGAATATTTCAAGGATATATCCAGACTTTTAAACAAATGGTTTATGCATTTGGTCTGTATATCCGTATACTTATCACTCGGGTCACGTTTAAACAAGTATGAGTTATAAACATACTTATTAAACCATTTTGACAATACAACTTTCTACTTAGCCTAATTGGGAAAACGATAACACTTAGTATATTCAGTGCAGCGCACTGCAGACCACAATGAATAAGCATAGTAATGAACCCATCTTTATATATATGTACATAATAAGTACATTTCACCGTTGGTAGTAGTAAAAAAATCCATAACTAACTTTCCATTATAATAAAAGATGGACAGTGACTAGCAGTGGGATCCAGAGGCGCGTTTCGTCCTATTCGGGACTCGTCAACTGCATGCTAACTTTCCATTAGATTTTAGATTTTTCCACTCAATATAACATTATTTATTTATTTATTTGAACACATAAATATTGGTACAAGGAAGCACCAGATAGATATGCGCCACACAAATCGAATGAGGTTTGTGTGGGAGCTGTGATACTGCCCAGGTGCCCGAACTGAAGCAGGTGGTTTTCTTAGGGTCCCACACCCGGAGCCTTTGACCGAAAGATCTGATCCACAAGGCAGTGGAGCATCGTGAGGAGATGCAGTCCCATGGTAGCCGGTGATCAACGATTGACTCGTACTCCATTTGTTCCCTTCAGGATACTGGAGCCCATGTGCACCATTGGTTTGGAATGAGGGTTTTCCAACTCCCCTAGATGGACACTCCACATCCACCAACCCGGTTAAAGCGCCCGACATTCGCTTTTCGTCCTCTCATTTTCGTAAACAACAGTGATGTCACGAGAAGGCAGTGTGTAGGACTTCCCTGTCAAAGGCTATATATTCGCTGGCCATGTGAGAGCATTTCGAGAGGGAGATCAGACTCTTCCCACTCTCGGCTGTACCAGGGCATTTGGGGGCCAATATAACATTACTGCGATCAGTAGTTGGGAACCTACATGACATGACTCAGAATCGGTCTCAGTGGTGCAGATACCTTAATTCTTTATATTGAGTTGCAGTATTCCTCAATAGCTACCTTTTCATTCCATCTTTTCGAACCATATTCTCATTGTTTATTCTTTCTGATAATAACTAATACTACATTATTTCCATTCATTTTGATACTTTTCGTATGATCGTATGATATGATCGTAAAACTAGTTTATCATCTATGAACTTTATTTATTAAACGTTAACAAATTGAACATCTCTAAAGCCTAAAAACCCATCTATGTAGAATTTTCCTCCGAACACTAATTTACAATTGACCTATACATTACCGGATGATTTCAATATAAAGTTCATTGAAATGAAAGTTCTGATGTTGGCAATATCTTTCCAATTCATATCATTACCTTTACTACTAAGCAGTTGATCGTTTTCGCTTTTAGTTTGCTATTTTTACTATATGTCAAAAAGTTAGAATTGTTCTATTACAATCCCAACTTACAATATCAAGTTTTCATAGTTGAAAGCATTAGTCAGTTGAAGCTAGACCACCAAGGAAAACCTGGAAGCACTAGACGGCCGTTTCGTCCAATTGTGGGACTCCCACGATCTCGCCTCACGAGATTCGAACACATGACCTACCAGTCTCGCGCGCCAGCACTTAACCGATAGACCACTGAGCCGGGATCCGACGGTGTTAATGTCTAACTTCAACAAATTCACGAAGTTGAGTAACCGTTCACCAATTGTCTTCAATTGACTGATTCTTTCAACTAAAAAAAATACTTAAATCTCCACAAAACCCCTTCTGATAATAATATCAAGTTTATCTATTCTTTTACTTCCCTCTTCAATGGAGTTTAGGAGATTAATTTTAATTCTGTAAGAAGAATCTTTCTATCATACATAATTCAAAATTATCATAAACTATTTCAAAACAGAAGAGGCAGTGAAAGAATTTGCATACATTTCTCATCATATATTTGATATAATAGATGGACTTTTGTTTTTATTAATATGTAAGGAACTCTTTGTTTTCCTTTTTATATGTACAAGGTTTTGTGTTCCTTCTGTTGTTATGCTAACATACACTATGCAAGGAATTTGTCTGAAGGAAAGTGGGACATTTTATACTGTTGGTTTACAAATTAGAATATAGAACATTCTAATCTTTAAGTCTCAGTAGTCAGGAGTTTATTGTTTGTTTTTGTTTGTTTTTTTCAAGAAGAAAATGAACTTTCAGATTGATTCTGTTAGTAGATTGAATTGCTTTCAGTTGTGTACAAGGGTAAAGTAATGTATGCATGTATGTGATTAGTGAATTCTCTACATCTACTTCACTGTAAACAAACCTTAAGACAATTGAGACTTTCTTTTTAAAGGTTTTATCAGCCAAATTGAATTGAGAAGTTCCTTTATCGAATATATCATGTTGAACTGATTGAATTTAATGATTCAACGAAGCTTTCACTTTAAATCATTATTATCTACTAGTTTTTATGTCACATTTCGTGCAAGTCTATGATCAATTGAATTGATATAGAAACCTTATTGTCGGTAAAGTTTGTACTATCAATTGTTTGTAACGTGAATATTAATGGATGAATACAAAGATGATTAGATCAAAGTAAAGTTGGTCGATGTGATTTTTATATTACATTGTTTCTTCAAACCAGAATCATGATGGGTTATGACATTTTTACTAGAATATATAGAAAAAATAATTTCTTTTGAATACTTTTCATGGACATTCCATAAACCATCTAAATGTTGGTGATAATTTCAAAGCTGTACGAATTACATCACATTCTTTAATACTATGTAGTAAAACATTATTATGCGTTATAGTATTGGCATAATCGAATCCAGGACAGATTAGCTAGAATAAAAAATGAAGAAGGGGAAACAATATTTGTTTTAAATTCGATGAAGATTGTTACATTATAAATTGAAACATTTCAAATGGTCATATACTTTTTTAGTCTAAATAATGAAATCATTTTGTCTAAATCACCATTGAAGATAGATTATCAATGAAATGCCGTTTCTGGTTGCTCCACATCGTGAATTGGTTCAATTCGGACAATAATACAGTTGGATGCTATTTCAGTGGTTTAGAGTTTAATCGTTCACGCACGAAACTGAAGATTCTGACCATTTTAAAGGGTCTCATACTGGGACGGAATAGCTATCTAATGAGTCCAAATTTTTTAACAGTGGTCTAGCTAAGATAAATCTTACAATCTCTACAAATCCCCCTGTACTAATAATCTTTGATTCGTTGAAACTCTGACCGTACGAAAACTCAAACTTTTCTCCTATGTGTTCGAGATGAGAATCTGTATATTGGTAAACATCCGCTGATTGTATTAATTTAGTTTTAGCATCCAAAATGATTTGATTCATGTTTATGCACTTAACAATTTTACTTTTTTGGTCTAGTTTGACCTTTATTTCTGATAGGATAATCTTAACGTGTTGATGTCTGACCAATTTGGTGTGGTATATTAGGAAACAAGAGCCAAAGAGAAAACTTTGTAATTTTTATTCAGTTTAAAATTTTAGCTGTTTCTATTAAATATCCTTCAGAGATTAAATTGGTTGATAATGTGAATGTATCCCTATGACTCATGTATCTGTTGATAAATCTCACAGGCGAACTTGTTTATCATGACACTGAGAAAGTGGAATCTAGGCAATAATTACTATAGTAACTAATATAGATACGAAAGTCAAGACAGTTCTATTGTACGGAGGTGAAACGTGAAGAACCACTACAACCATCGCCAAGAAGGTACAAGTATTTATAAACAGTTGTCTACGCAAAAAACTCCACATTCACTGGCCGGATACTATCAGCGTTTTATGAGAGAGAACAGACCAGCTGAAGAGGAAATTAGGAAACGATGTTGGACTTTGATCGGACATGTATTGAGGAAATCACCAAACTGCATCACGGCTCAATCCCTAACTTGGAATCCGGAAGGGAATCGGAAAAGACGGAGGCCAAAGAACACATTACGCCGGGAAGCAGATATGAAAAGGGTGAATGGTAACTGGAAAGGATTGCTTGGGACAGGATTGGATGAAGAATGCTAGTGAGCGGCTTATGCTCCACCACGAAGGGTAAGAGGCGTAAGTAAGTATAGATAAAATATTATTAAACATTTACTCAATATAATTCCTCTCAAAATGCATAGTATGTGGAACATAGTAATTCAAATTTTCGATAAATGCTATTTTCACATTTTAATTTTACTGAATTGTTGTAGGAATATTAATCAACAAGTATATTTACTTTAGGATTGTTTGATACTTCAAGCCTAATCTTCAAAATATCGACATACGTTTAGCGAAGAATGCATGCAAATATTAGGTTATAAAACAATCAATTGGATGAGGGAATTCATTTTCATCAATTACGTGATATAACTACATACTTAAAGTCAATAAATAAGGTTCTAGAAAGTATTTTAAAGTCATAAATGATTGATCACTGGGTGGTGATCAATGTCATGAGTGTCAAGTCCGTCTTAGTGCTGATCGAATGCTATCGATCAAGTTGCAATGTGGTCACTAGTCTAGATGGCTAGACATTGATTGCACTATGTTGAGATAAGACGGTGGTTGAGTATTTCAAAGTATTTTGTGAGGATTATTTTGTAAGCCTGGATCCATTTATTAATTAAGAATCAATTCATTGATTGATAGCCGACGCTTTCAACTTAACAGTAACAAAGATGAAACTACTTTATTTTGAGTTGGGTATCAAATTCATTTTCTCTGTATGTAAAATGATATCGTTCAACAATTTTACAAACGTGTTTCTTAATTGTACTGAATAGCCATATGATATGTGGTAGTGAACATAAAATATGATAGGTTATCGAGCATGGACAAACAGGGATATGGTTCACCGACTGTATAATATGTGAGTTTCTTTCTGCTCGTAATTGAATGGAACTAAGTGCTGTCCAGATTATACTCTGGTTCTCTATTCTGAGTCGTGAATCCTTGATCTGATAGAACGTGACTAGTCTCATCATGTCAACGTATTATTGAAGTATACCTGAGAAATAGAAATATTTTAAACCATCCGTTATCTCACCATAAGATTACCTAAATTTATCTTTGAATAGCTCTCTCTTACAACTTATTTCATTATTAGCAAGATTTTGTAATTTCCCTTTGTTTATATTCAGGTGTGGGATTGATCGATTCCTGTTACCATATATGGATTCTGAGAGGATTGACTTGGTGAAACTGTGTCATAAGCGTTAGTACATTTGGTATTAGGGATACGGGATTAGGGTTTCGTTCTATTTCAGATTCGTCAGCTGGATAACTTTTGATTTTAGTATTTATGTTTAATTGTAGTCCTGGATATCAACGGAAAACTGCAAACACTTACTAATACCTTCACACTCATTGAACATGTTAATGGCTACCTGGGCTCAGTGAATAAGACTAAAGCCAGTAGGTCAAAATCAACGTTGAGATGCATGTACATCCAGTTGATGAGTTCTAAGTAAGAAATGTTCGTAGCTTCTACTATTGGTTCTATATTAAAACTATGTTCGTCATACCTGTAAAAGCTTATTTCAGCTTTATCGAGCAAGCAGAAGATGATAAACTTTGTATTAGAATAATGTATTAATTTGTATAGGATATTTGAAATCGTCGTTACGGATATTTTGCCATTCTTTATAATAATTGGATTTATAATTATCGGTTGATGCCTTACAGAGATATCATTTATCAAATCTCATCGAACGTTCATTCTTTTTGTATTCGTTAACATTTATGAATAAGATAGGTCAACAGTATTAGGAATTCTAGTTTTCTTCCAAACACTTAAATTTACATCAATTAAACTGTTTTCGGTTATTTTATGTGGTTAAGATCATGAGTCAACTGAAGCTAGATCACCATGGAAAATCTGGAAGCACTGGATGACCGTTTTGTCCTATTGTGGGACTCGTCAGCAGTGTGCATCCACGAAACTGTCTCGCGGGATTCGAACCCAGGACCTACCGGTGTCGCGCCAGAGCACTTAACCGATAGACAACTGAGAAGGCACCCAACAGTGTTAATGTCTAACCTAAACTAATCGGTTAATTTTTCGTTTCTTGAAATATTAACATATTCTTAGCTGTATTGTGGTGTGGTCTACTTATATCCATATACGTAGTGTACGGTGTTGGTCAGACATAGAATGTATTTTGGCAGAAGACCGATGAGCAAAGAACTGAAATGAAGCGCAATCGTTTGGAAAATGCATGAGCAATGGAATTAGAGAAGAAACAGTGAAGATTGAAACAATTGGTTGTTAATTTGCAAATTGTTCATTGTTTGGTTATCAGAATTTACTGAGATAATCTGTAATCTTTGCTTAAATACATTCGATTGTCCCCAACCGGTGTTTCGTTCATTACAGTATCATTGTTTTATAATTAGATAGTAATACTAAATTGATTTAAATGTAAACAATAGTAGTTACTAATATACGAATATTCATCAAGAATAAAATGAATAGTTTGACGAAAATTGGGCTCCGAGTATAGCGTTTCTGGTTAGCGTTTTTTTAGCGAGTTAGTTTTCTATGGGATCGAGTCTCTAACCTTATTCTCAACCCTCCTCTTTTTTCCGGGCTTGGGACCGGCAGTAGCCCCTGGAGTAGCTACAGGTGGAGTTCACCGAGTATGCAGAAGTCATTATATGTGAAAATTATATTTAAAATAATCTCAGCGATTAAAATTTAACTAATTTCAACGTTTCGTCCAGCAAACTTATCTGAACTTCTTTAGGGTAATAATTGTTTTACATATCATATATGAATAGAATGAGTTTGATACAAAGAGTTTATAAATACAATTTTTGGTCAATTCATTCATTCAGTTCTATACTTACTTGAAATATCCACTGGTAAAATAATTCTTTATTTGTAAGAAATATTCCTGGTAAATTAGAATCTGGTTGATTATAATGAATTGATAAATAATCTTTATAAATTCGACCTGTAATCTCAATAGCTAAAATTGATTGAAAGACATTTGGTGTTTTAGACCATATTAACCATTGATCCTTTAAAACAAAATAGAATTCAAAGTGTATACTAATGATAATATAATCTCATTATGTATATAATTAGGGTTGAATATTTTTTATAAAAGCACTTAATAATTATAGACGTCTTTTAGTCAGTTAGTCAGCTACAACGTAGGACCAGGCACACATATGCATCGGTCATACCTCATTAGCACAACAAGAGGAACACATAATTCAAAGAAGTAGTTAATTTAGTGGTGGTAGTATATAAAAGATAGGTTGTATATAAGGATATAGTATGGGAAGGAAAAAAAGTTATTAAGCAATTTTAATCTCAAGGTTTGAGGGAAGATAAAGAGTGTGCACACTGACGCCATTGTGATGGATACTGAGCCATATCACACACAGTCTCCAACCATTGGTTACGATAGTCACACGGACCTCAACCAAGTAGTCTGCATCTGTCAACATGGCTCAGACTAGAAGTTAGTGACTTCAATCACTGATGCCATGTTTTGGTTTGGCCGCCCCTAACTCTTTCCCAAACATTCCCTACACTAGTCAAAATCGTGAGTCATGGTAATCGGTGTTCAGGTATACGTAACACGTGGCCTAACCATCTCAGTCGATGAAGATTCATCACTTCATCAACTGATTTACCATCATTCCCTAATATCCTGCGTCTAACCTCACTATTACTTACCCGGTTATCCCAGCAGATGCGAGCAATATTTCTAAGGCATCTGTGGTCAAATACTAGTAACTTGTGAGTATCTTCTACTCTTAATGGCCATGTTTCGCAGCCGTAAAGTAGAACAGAGCGAACTGCTGCGCAGTATACTTATCCCTTAATTGATAGTCTGTCCCACCGTAAAAAAATGATCTCCTTTATGATTCTCTGTACTGACAGTTTACTGTTGTTGTTATTGAGCTTATCTCCTTGAATATGAACTGTTGTCTCCAAAGTTGATGACTATTTTTTTTAAACTGTGTGTTATTATGTATTCATATAAATATATTCAGAGGAGACAAAATTGTTATCTGATATTATTATTAGAAGGGGTTATTGTGAAGAATTAGTATTTTCATAGTTGAATGCGTGAGTCAATTGAAGCTAAACCACCAGGGAAAACATGGAATCATTAGACGGCTGTTTCGTCCTATTGTGGGACTCCTCAGTAGTGCGCATCCACGACCTCGCCTCGCGAGATTCAAACCCATGACCTAACAGTCTCACGCGCGAGCACTTAACCTCTAGACCGCTGAGCCGGCATCCCATGGTGTTTTTGGCTAACTATTTTAGTTGCTTTATTCTAGTGAATCTGATATAGTTTATTTATGTAATCCTGAATGTAAACAAGATAGAGTGCTTCTCTTTGTAATGTAAAATGAATAAATATTGAACTTCTGAGTACAGTGCAGATAAACAAGCCATATAACAAAGTTGATTTGTTTGGAGTTGTTATTCTGTATGTTTATTCCATGAAATTGTGAACTTCAAGTTGAATATCTAAATCATAAGGCTTTATTTCTAGAGCATAGAAATTGGAATCAGCTGTGAAATTAAAAAAATCTTTTCAATAATCTTATTAGGTTCCAGTAATTGTTCTTTTTCAGAGTATAAAAAGTTATCTTATGGGAATTTTTAACTTTAGAAAAACAATACAACAAAACAAATAATAGCTCACTATGAACTTTGAATCCAGTAAAAATTTCCGAACATATAGGTCAAATTCATCTTGTTCACTTTGATAGAAAATGCTTACGTCCAAGCATCCTTAAAAGAAATTTCAATGAATAAAGTTATAGATATATAAATGTAATGTCTTCAGTTTGACGTACATCTGTGAGCTTAGGATAGTCATAAGAATCTTTTTAAATCAATTATGTACAGTCTTTGTTTACTCCTACATGCAATGATGACTGAAACAGTTATAAGTTGGGAAACAAAACGAGTGTAGACTGTAATGAAGAAGTGGAACTAGTTCACTGAATCACTAATTGTTCGCCTGAGCCATGTTTCTTGGTGCAAATCAGCTGGTTTGGACTAGAGTGATTCATCTTATTAGTAGTTAGACAAGCTGAGTCACATATCTCACAATCGTCCAATGTGAGATAGATGCACTAAAGCTTTATGTAAGTCTAGATGTTGAGTTTAAGTATTCCTTTATAACCATCTCTTCATTTTGTCTTCATGAATCACAGTCCTTCTCACTGTCATTATGATTATAATTGCAATGTCTGCTTTTCTATTGTTTTGATGATTTCATCTACTCGCATTAATTTAGTATGGTTACTGAACCTAATGGCCATATGTATCAGGCTTTAAGTCGATTATAACTGACTAATGCTATAGAAATCAGTAAATAACTATATGTAAGTCATACAAAATCTTTCATGTATCCTTTTTATACCATAAGATCCCATACATCTAAGCAAGAATGCGTTCCCATTCATCCTGGTATTTTTATGAAAACCACATAAATCCAGTTTTTTACCCTTAGATAGTACAAAGGAATTTCTGAAAATTGACCAATCAAATTCGGAATTCTATGTTTATGGTCAAAAATTTTCCTTTGAGATGCATTCAGCTCGAGTTCACGATGAGCTATGTTCGACACCCAAGAAACTTAATGTAATTTTCATTAAAAAATCGTAGAAATTTCTTCAAATATGAGAATTATGTTTTATCATAGCTGTATACATTTGATCTATACATGTCTATTTGAAAGATCATGTTATATGCATGGGTTTGTGATTTATTTTCGATAAATGTAATCTACGAAACATCTTACAAGTAGCTTCACATAAAAATAATCTTTTACTATCTCGTATGCAACATTCATTTGTTTTAGTCTTACTTCGGCAGTTCTGGTCGATATGCACAAGTTAAATAAAATCGGCGATTTTTATATAAATAATATTAGAAGCGAAGAACTTAATGTTAGAAAATACCAAGCAAATAGTTCACACTTCTAATGTATTTCTGGTCTGTTGCTGGGTATAGAATTCTCGATACATATTTCATCCTATATGAAATATATTACCTCGATATGCTTGCGTTCCGGATAGCCCAGTGGTAACGTCTCATTGCCCCTAAACGCCCTGGTACAGCCGAGAGTGAGGAGAGTTAGCTCTCAATCTCCAAATGCTCTCACAGTCACGTGCATACAACCAATGTCATAGAAGTTCTACTTACTGCCTTCTCATGGCACTATTGTTGTTCACGAAATTTACAGGATGAAAAGCAAACGTCTGGCGCTCGAACCAGGTTGGTGGACACGTAGAGTCCACCTAGGGGAGTTGGAAAACCCTGATCCGAAACCAATGTCTCATATGGACTCCAGGATCCTGAAGGAACAAATAACGTATAAATCGATTATTAGTCACCGGTTACAATGGGACTGCATCTCCTTACGTTGCTCTACTGCCTTGTGGATCAGACCTTTAGGTCGATGTCTCCGAGGTTGACTGCCCAAGAAAACCACTCCTTCAGTCTAGGCACCCGGACAGTATCGTAGCCTACACACAAATTAATTGACTTGTGTGGCGCATATGTTTTTGGTGCCCCTTTGTACCAATACTTATGTTTTCAAATAAATAAATGTGCCCACTCTCCCCACTTTCGGCCGTACCAGGGCATTTGGGGGCTTTCTACAGATGACATAGCTGAGATCCATCAAATACTATTCTGTAGTCTAAATGATTTAAAAACTATAGTAGACCTATTGAATATGTGTTTAGTCTGTGATAAAATCGTGTGTACTTCAGAACATTTCCAAACTAATATACAATATATATGTATATAATCAATGGTTTTTCTGTTGACATATATTAGAAACAAAAACTTTCTATAAATCAGTATGTATGTACATAAGAAAGACATTTTCTGACTATAAATAGAGTTACAATTTTACAATCCTGAAAATTTATAAAAATATTTTTCTACTTACTATTATTAATGAATAAACTTGATAGAATTTTTGTTACGGAATACCATAAATATCCAAAATTCAAATATCTAATATGAAAACAAAAAAAGAGATTTAAATTGATTAAACAATAATAATTAATTAACAATAACTGCTAGCCACTATCCATTTTAGCTTATCATGCTTGTGAATTAAGGCTATATCGAGGCAATACGCACAGTATGCACATATGCCAATTAGAGACTGACCAGTTGCAGTCCTAACATATCGATGGGAAGATTCAAACAAACAATACTAAGTGAATTTAGAATGGTGAATTGTTCAGCAATATTGATTACTAATGTAGCTCAATAGTTTATAGTAAAAACGTTTGATACAAGGCTCTCTTAAAGACAGCGAAACATTCTATTAAGGAATTTTTGAAGATTCCCATTGTGAAAATTAAAATAACACATATAAGTGAACAATTGTTTTCAATTAGATCATCACTAGGCTTTACTCTAATATACATGAATATTTATACGAAAATTGACAGATAATTTGAATTTAAACATTAAGAATTAAAAACACGAAGTTCAACGAAGGGATCTATTTTCAACGAATTTATTGTCAAGCTGTACAATCGTACGCAAATGAAAATGTTATGTTAAAGTATTTATATATACTATTGTACAGCTTGATAATAAATTCGTTGAAAATAGATCCCTTCGCTGAACGTCGTGTTTTCATACGAAAATGTCAGACCAATCAAGGCGATTCGAGTCCATAATCACAATGAAGTAGAATACGTCACTGAGCAGAATAGTTAAAATTACAAGTTGATAGTTAGAAGACAGATGTACTGATAGTAGTAAGAATATTAAATTACAAAAACAGAAGTCTTATCAATTGTTAAACATTGGAAATAGGTCAAACGTGGGTAAATAGACTTAGAATAGTCATCACAAAACATTAAAATCATTACGTAATAAGAAGTATGTAAGTAAATAGATAGTGAAGAATACAAACGGAAAGAGGTAGAAAATTACAAACAAATGATAACCAAATTAAGATAATAAAAATAAATTTTACAAATAATAATAATGTCATTTGTTTAGTTATGCCCGACCATTGGAAGCGATAGGAGGGTTACGAATTTCTTCTGTACACATAAATTGGGGTGGAATGTACGAATTCCTATGGCTTCTGCTATATGTAGGAGACAGGAGCGAACTCCGTTGTGAAATGATGGAGGTATACGATAGACCACTTGAAATGATTTCAATTTATCTACAATATGACCACTATCAACTAGATGTGCCCAGATAGAACTGCGTATTGATTTTAGCTGACCCTTTCCAAACCATGCTGGTAGATGTTCACTCATTTATTGGTCAAGCTGCCTAGTAGTACATCCGATATAGCTATCTACACAGGCTCACCTGAACTTGTAAATGCACATAGAGGAGGCTAACTCAGGTAACTTTTCCTTCTTTTGAGTAGACATCTTTGATCGACTCGAGAAAGTCAAAGCAAGATCGTCCTGCTAACCTATCTTTCAAAGTATCGCTAGCCACATCCCCCTTGAATTGTAGTTTCATGTATAAAGGTTTCTTTCGAACTACTGAAATCTCAGACTTTGTTCTTGTATCATACATGTACTTCTTAATGAATGAACTAGGGTAGCCGATCTCTGTCAGTTAGTTATTGATAAATTCCAGATTCTGACTTAAAGTATCTACTGAACAGACCTGTCTTGCTCTACTAGTCAGGCATGTAACCAAATATCGGATAGACGTAAAGCTATAGAAGTGAGTATATTGGCAGACAGAGGGACTTTTTCCATACACACTTCTACTTAACGAGCCACCACTTCGCCTGATTAATGTGTCGTAAAGGGAATTCATTTTTTTGTCACACTCGCCTACACCAATGAAACCAACAGCTGGATGTAAGCTGTTGAAGTGTTCCAGGAGTACAAATATTCATGTATATTAGAGTAAAACCTGATGTCAATCTAATTGAAAACAATTATTCGCTTACATTTGTTATTAAGGAATTATATACATATGCTTTAACAAGAAGCTATGCATACAGATTTCATGCTTATCTACATAAACCAGTATTATGAATTCAGTATAATGTGTGAAACAAGTACACAATGTTATCGTTATTGGTCATCTTTGTAACTATAATAGAAGATTTCGATCAATATTGAATTCATAGACAACTCATTTACCAAGCATACCTTTATGTACTGGTTTTTGAGGTACATTTTTAGTGATAAAACTCAACTGTTGAGATCTATGTAGGTTGAATGGTGTTCTATCTTGTAACCAAAGTGTTGAAATCAAGTGATTGAATTACCAGTACCATAGTTTTACATAACATTCATCAATCGCTAGTAAATAAGTAGGTTATCTGTAGATACTTTTCCTTGCATCTATTCCGTAGTTCAATGACTGCATAAATGTTTCTGTATTTGAAATCAACGGAATTCAAACTATTAAATTCCTATGCCAAGTTATTAAAGACAGATTTGTCTTTCTGCTTAAGAAATATTATTTAAGTCTTTTTTGTTGTAAAAGATTCATTGTTTTGATTAAGATCAGTTTAATCTTTAGAACAGTAAAGCTTCTTTTCAATAAAAGGCTATTTGAATCACCTCTAAGTGGTAAGATGATGTAGACAGGCTTTTTCTTCACCAAAGCTACAGTAGGTTTCACTATGCCATGAATAAATGTAGGTGGATGATATAAACTGCTTATTGAATAAACTTAAAACTATCCAAAACCACATCAATCTCTCATGTAAAGAGAAGAAGAACGACCAACTTCCCTTCCTAGATATACCTCTAAGCAGACGAGAAGATGGCTCATTCAAACGATCCATTTTTCGAAAACCGACGTGGAAGAGTCAACACCTTAGTTACTATAGTTATTACCCTGTGCAATATAAACGGGGTTTGGTAAGGTGCCTATTTAACAGTCTTGATCGTATTTGCACAAACGACGCTATTGATGATGATGTTAAGTTGTTAAACAAGACATTAATGGAGTAAAGCTTCTATTGTATTTATTATTGTAGTTATCTTTAATGTAAAATCTGACTGGTTATTTTCTCTTATTGATGTTTTGTTCAGTATATGATACGAAATACTTTTCATAAATAAATGAACTTTGCTTAGAAAGTTTCAATCATCTTTTTGTTCATATTCTGTGGTGTGGTTTACTTATATCCACATAAGTTATATATAACGATTGTCAGGTATAGAAATATATTTCAATAGAAGATCGATAAGGAAAGAACGGGAACGGAACACGATTGGTATGAAAATGCATAAACAATGAAATCAGAGATGATGAACTGGTATTTGTAGAAGGAACAGTCAAGATTGAGTCAATTGATTGATAGTTTACAAATTAACTTGTTATCGTATGGTTGTCAGATTTTAGTGAGATATTCTGTAATTTTGTGCTCAAGTATATTCGATTGTCGATTGTTTTCTTCTTCACTACAATTCAAGACTGAATTTTAACTAATAAATAACACAATTTGTGGATGATTTTGATAGAGTTTTGTTCTTTCAGCTGTATGGTTTAGTCGTGGAGTTTTCATTGTTATTCTGCAAAACATCAGCACAAACTTAAGGTAGAAGTGAAATGTTTGAATTTCTCCACATATAGCTCATAGCTTGTCTTGTAAACCTGTATGTTGATTGGTTATTATTGACCTTAAAACTGCCATTGTTTATGATTTAAGGTCAACAATAACCAATCAACATCGAGATCTACAGGACAAGCTATTAGCTATATGTGGAGGAATTCGAACATTTCACTTCCACCTGAAGTTTGTCCTGATAATATCTTACAGAATAACGATGAAAACTCCACGACCAAACCATCCAGCTGAAAGAACAAAACTCCACCAAAATCAATGATACTAGACAGTTAAATAAACTATATGGAACATGTGATAAAAACAATTTTATTTTAATAAAACACATTTTAATACATTAAAGCCTAGTAGGAAAAAAAGAAAATAGTTTCTCTTATGAATCTAACACAAAATATTCGTGTTTGTTTACTCACTTACCTGGGTATTGATAAATCAGGCATAAAATAAGGCCATTGTAATAATAGAAGTGAAATTTCTTTTTTCCAGAAGCATACAAATAAGAAAACAAAATATAATGAAATATATAATAAAGAAATAATTAGCTAGAAGGGGGTTTTTTGAAGATTTCAGTAATTTTATATAGTTTTATTCATGAGTCAATTGAACGTAGACCACCATGGAAAACCTGGAAGCACTGGACGACCGTTTCGTGCGATCGCTTAACCACTAGATCACTGAGCTGGTATCCAACGGTGTTAATGTCTAACTTTAATCAATCCACGAAACTGAGCAGCCATTAACCGTTGTCTTTAATGAGTTGATATCTCCTAACACCGTTGGATGCCGGTTCAGTGGTTTAGTGGTTAAGCGCTTGCGCGCAAGACCGATAGGTCCTGGGTTCGGATCTCGCGAGGCGGGATCGTGGATGCGCACTGTTGAGGAGTCCCAAAATGGAACGAAACGGTCGTCCAGTGTTTCCAGGTTTTCCATAGTGGTCTAGCTTCAATTGACTCATGATTCCAACTATATAAAATAATTAGTTGCCATGGCAACACTTTCTTATGATACAGAACAGTGCAATGAAATGACAATTAATTTTGTAAGACATAAATGATACTTGTTAAAAAGTTATTGAAAACTGCTAATAATAAATAATTACGATTATTTCGTACATTACTTTGAAATGACCTAGACGTTGGATTTTTTTTTAATTTACCAAAAATACAGTCCATCAAAGCTATTATCTCTGAAACATATAACTATTCATTACTGTTTGATTGCTCAGTATACTTCGATTATAGTATATAAATACAAAAAGTTTAATAAAAATTTGAGATAAGTATTTGGCTGAAATTAGTAAATGAACAACTAAATTCTGAATGGATTATTAATAATCTTAAAATTTATTGGAACCATATCACTAAAGTCTACTCAATAGTGAATAGGTCAAGTTGAAATGCGATACAGTTTAGGTCACTTAAACAGTAAGATTAGTCTGGTGTCACCTTGAATATAAAAACCGTCAACCTTCAAGAAATATTTTATTTTCAGAACTTCCTATATTATCAAACTTCTAGCATAGTTTATAACGACTATTATTATCGTTCTATTTAGCAAATTACAAAGTTAGTTGACGTGAGGGTAAATAACTAACTGAGGAGTCCCACATTAGGACGAAACGTCCATCCAGTGCTTCCAGGTTTTCCATGGTGGTCTAGCTTCAATTGACTTATGATCTCAACTATTGAAACTAATTATTCATTTAAGAGTAGTTAATAAAAGAAACATTTAAGCATACCGTAAAATGGATATACATTTATAGTATAGACTTACCCAATATATTAGAACTTTGTATATAATGAAAAAGTTTACTACCTCCAGAACTAAGACTGAAACATAAAAAGATGAGTGAAAAGTAAGTTATTCATTATGTGTAGCATTTTGGTTTTGTAGATCTAAATAAATTAAGATCAGTCCGAATGAATTCAGTCATCTTTGTATGTCAGTCAGCTACAACGTAGGACCAGGCACATATATGCATCGGTCCAAGTTACCATATCTCGTTAGCACAACATGATGAACACCGAATTCATAGAAGTAATTAATTTACTCGTGGCAGTGTATAAAAGATAGGTTGTATATAGGGATAAAGTATAGGAAGGAAGAACGTTGTGAAGCAATTTTAATCTCAAGGTTCAAGGGAAGATAAAAAGTGTATACACCGACGCCATTGTGATAGATTCTGAGCCATATCACCTAGAGTCCCCAACCATTGGTTACGATAGTCACACGGACCCCAACCAAGTAAGCTGCATCTGTCAACATGGCTCAGACTAGAAGTTAGTGACTTCAATCACTGATGCCATGTTTTGGTTTGGCCGCCCCTAACTCTCTTCCAACCATTGCAAATGCTTTGTATAGACTATGACTAATTAAAATTATTTATATAACAGATCATCATTTCTGTACCTTATTCAGTGAAGAGTTTTATCAACTTCTAAATGAATTAGGATAGTTTAAATAAACGTAAACGCATTTATTGCATTTTGAGTGTAATAGTATGCGAGTACAGAATGCCAATTTTGTTCTATTCAAAACACGTCAGCAGGATTTATTTACATTTCAATATAGTGTTAAATAAGAAGAAATATAAATCTTGCATTCAACTGCTAGTCGTCATCAATTAAACTGTAGTTAGAACAAACAAAAATTTAGAAAGCTTATATTGTTACTATGATTCTTCTACTATTTTGCATCTCACTATGGTAATATAATGCGGTAATTCAAACCGACCTACATGTATTCTGAGTTGTACGTTGCTGATGATTGTCTGACTGATGAAGTTTTTTTGATATACTACAAATTTTTATTGTGAATTTACCATCTTTATTGAAGGATCTTATTGCTTTGGCAGTGAATAATATCCACTCAACTAATGTGCATTCATAATTCTATGTACATTTTGTCCTAAACAACAAATTCTTACTCAGATGAAATTACGTCTTTGCAGTACATTTGATTATAAATAATTTGAGAAGAAACTTTGCCTTTTGCCTCTCTAGTTTTACTTCTAGTCCGGTTTGTTCAAGAGGTCAGCAACCCCACTCTTCAGAAAAATAATTTGGCTACAAAAGTACTAACTGGAAAAATCTGTGCTATAAATTTGTTTTGAAGTGTATTATCGTTTTTTGTCTTCAATATATCCCTGAATCTAGGTTTCGTGCTAGCCGTCATCCTTCATGAAGGAGTACCTGTAATTTTGAGGGAACTGACAATCACAGTGGAATTCGATCCCACCTCACCCAATTTTTTTGCTTCCAAGTCATAACAACTGTGTTATTTGGGCTGCTACTAACATCCTACCGACAGCTACGTGAAGGTTTGAAGACGTATTATTATCCTTAACTAACATCAACCAGAGAAAAGTTGAAAATAATGAAATATTGTACATCCATTTTTTGTCAGAATGAAATTTCCTAATGGCATGCACTCACGAGACTTCCTGAGGATTAAGATAGAATCATCATATTAGTCGGTAATCAAAGTTGAACTTCATTTTATTTGCTGTATGATGTAATAATCATCTACTGTCATTTGCATGTAACTCTCCAGTATTTGTACTTCCAAATTCTGTTAATCAATCCCTCACATTTTTCTCAAGTTATCGATCTAGTACCGGAATTTAACTTCTTTATATTCAGTCTTGTAGAGAGTCATATATGTATATTAGTCCCGAAACAAGATAAAACAACAGCCCATTACTTTCTAATTTACAATGTGTGTTTTTTCATAATAAACATAAATCCTAACCCAAATTAATCTCTGCCTTTTATTTAACTAAAAGGTATGTTTATTATTACAACAGTCAAACGAAGTGTTGTTTATGTTTACTTTTCGTATAAATCTTTGTGAACACTAATCGATATGACTACTACTACTACTACTACTACTAATAATAATAATAATAATAATAATACTAATAATAATAATAATAATAACAATAATAGTAATATTATCCAAAGTTGAAATCATGAGTCAATTGAAGCTAGACCACCATCGAAAACCTGGAAGCACTGGACGGCCGTTTCGTCCTACTATGGGACTCCTCAGCAGTGCGCATCCACGAACCCACTCTCGCGGGATTCGAACCCAGGACCTACCAGTTTCGAGCCAAAGCCCTTAACCGATGGACGAGGAAGATAGATAGAGGAAGCAGTGACCAGTGGAGTTAAACCACGTCCGTTGTGAGATGTCAACTCACTGAAGACAATTGGTGAATGGTTGCTCAACTTCGTGGATCAGTTGAAGTTAGACACTAACACCGTTGGATGCCAGCTCAGTGGTCTATCGGTTAAGGGCTTTGGCTCGAGACTGGTAGGTCCTGGGTTCGAACCTCGCTCGCGAGAGTGGGTTCGTGGATGCGCACTGCTGAGGAGTCCCATAATAGGACGAAAAGGACATCCAGTGTTTCCAGGTTCTCCATGGTGGTCTAGCTTCAATTGACTCATGATTTCAACTTTGAAAAATACTGAAATCTCCACAAATCCCCTTCTAAAGTAATATTATCATTATTATTAGTGGTAGTAGTAACGTTTTTGTTTTCATCAAAGATCTAACATAAATCATAATAAATACTCAAAACTTTATCTGTAAAGTTCACTAATATTAAGTTTATTAAGAATACTACTATTATTAACTATTTATGCATAGTTTTTAATGAATATAATTATTAAAAATAATGAAAAATAAACAATCAGAGACTGATGGATTGCAGTCCTAAACATCAATGGGAAGATTCAAACAAACAATACTGAATGAATTTAAACTTCACCCTATTGCACAAGAAAGTGGATGTCGGGACTCAGTAGCTGAGTGGATAACGCCATGGCGTTTGAAGCGAATGATACTGGGTTCGAGTCCCAAAGTGAACATCAACTGTGAAAAGCACGTCAAACTGGATTCCACTGCTAGCAACTATCCATTTTTGGTTAAAACGCTTATGAATGAAGGTTATATCGAGACAATACTCACAGTATGCACATATGACCAATAAGAGACTAATGGATTGCAGTCCTAAACATCAATGGGGAGATTTAAACAAACAATACCAAGTGTATTTAATTATAATAAATAAACATGTTTATCGATAGCGTTTAGTTGAATGATTTATGTAACTAATAGGTAAGTTAAAAGTGAATCTTTAAAACAGGCTAACATACTAACACGATACTTAATTACAAAAATGTACTTTTTTAGAAATGTTTAATAATCTCAGAATGTTTATATTTAAAATAGTTAAACTTTATGTTGATGAAGAATAATTTGAAGAATTTAGAAGATGAATTAGTTCATTTTGTCATTAAAGTAATCAATAATTTTATAAAAGAAATTGAAGGATAGCTCATTTATCATAGAATAACTTAATAAGCAATGCAGATGTTAGACATAGGGTACCAGCGAAAGTGAAGATCTAATGAGATTGTCGAGACATGCATTAATTAACATTGTCTACTGCGATAACTGACTTTGGCTAGTATGGAATTAAGTTGGCAGAGAGATAACGGCGATCAAACCTAGACGTAAGATTTGTCTATAAAGTCGTTGACTGTTAGTCTAAAATATGTTATTATTTGAGAAATACCTGGTTGAGGCCTGCCCAATAAAGTTATGTTAGATAACATAGGTCAGAAATAATCACATTGTAGCAAGTCCATTTACTCTTTATGTTGATCCATAACTTGAGTTTTAACATTCATTCACACATACCTATTCTTCCTATCTTTCTGAGACGTATTCTCAATATTTAGCCCTTTTAATTACAGTTGTTACTAAATTATTTCAGTACACATGTTATTCAATTTGTTAACTTCATCTAATCGTGTTAATATAGAATACCAGTTTCAGCTAACCCATAATAATGCCGAACTCTACAGTGATTACAACTGACATAGGTATGGTACTATTTTAAAATTGAGCACACTCGTAGTTTAGTGTAGCAGATTACGTAATTACAAATTACTAATTATCTTTATAGATAATCTTATTTCTACAACCACTTTGTTAATTAACCTTTTTATTCACTAATGATATCTTGTATAATGGGAAACAATACAACAATTGAAAATGTTCAATTCATTTCTGATTTTATATAGTTGAAATGATGAGTCAATTGAACGTAGACCACCTAGGAAAACCTGTACGAAACGGTCGTCCAGTGCTTCCAGGTTTTCCATGGCGGTCTAGCTTCAATTGACTCATGATTTCTACTTTATAAAATTACTAAAATCTCCACAAAACCTCCTTCCTGATCATTTCTGATTATTAAAAAATCAATGGAGTAATACAAATTCTTCAATCAATCATAAATAAAGAATTTTGATAGTTGAAATCATGAGTAAATTGAAGCTAGACCTCCAGGGAAATCCTGGAAGTACTGGACGGCCGTTTCGTCCTATTATGGGACTCCTCAACAGTACGCATCCACGATCCCGCAATCACGAGATTTGAACCCATGACCTACCAGTCACGCGCCAGAGCACTCAACCGATAGACCACTGAGCTGGCATCCAACGGTGTTAATGCCTAACTTCAACCAATCCACGATATTTGAGCAACCGTTCACCAATTATCTTCAGTGAGTTGATATCTATACAACAGACTTGGTTGAATTCCACTGGTCACTGCTTTCGCATCACAAATAAAGAGAATAATTATCCAATTTTACAAAAATGTTTTCAAGTCTTTTCGACCCCCCCCCAAAAAAAAACTATTTCAAATAAAAATCTATTCAAAACAAAAATAAATTTTACTCAAAATTCTCATAATCATTTTAAAATTATTTAACCCCACCCCGTTTTCAACTTAATTATTCAATCAAATAAATTAAAGATTTTTTTCTTGTTTTTGTTTTAACATTTTCAACACCATAGAAACTAACATGTTAATATGAACAGTTTTATATATATATACATACCAAAAAAAAATGGACATGAAACTTACCCAAGATCTGGAATTAATTTAGATAATTCTGTAGATATTGCTTTTTGTGATAAAAAATTATTAAATTGTACTAATTGCATTAAAAGACTTTGTCTAGATTGAATTTTTAACTAAATAAATAGAAAGAAAAAGATAAAAAATGAAAGAAAAGGAGAACAACAACAGCCTACACCAATCTGATGAAAGGGAAACAAATAAATAGAAGACAAATGGAATTTTATTTTTAACATAGATGAGTAGATCTGGGTGAAATCGAATTTTTATGAGATTTTAATCAGATATAAAAGTTTAACAAATGAAATAATTTATAAATGAATTATAGTCAAAAAGAAGACTAGAGAGGGAATCAGTTTTAATTAAGATTACTTGATTATCAATAATTGAAGTTGATGTATTTAAACTTAACTAACTTCTAGTTATCAGTATCATTATCAGATTGTCTTCATGTCAGTTGTGTGTGACGGCTAATTGTTGTTGATTGTTTTCATTATAAAATATAAGTGTATACGATATGTATATGTTATATATTGTGGCCTGCTTGCCCTGTTTAATATATGACGTGATAAGATCGTCAATTAGAGAGCAGTGACTTATCGATCAGACCGACGACACACAAAGTCCGTGAGATCAGCCTAGAGCACTTGTCGGTCCTGCTCTCTGCCTAGCCCAACCAGTTAAGTTCAGAACACCAAAAACAGCCTCTGCAATATGAGTCATTATTCACAAACATACTGGGTTTAAATACCAAACGGACAGACCACATCGTATCATAAAATAGGAAACAACATTTGTACAAGATTTGGCCAGATGTGGCTGTGTTATAGGGGGAACAGTAACTAATAGACTGAGGATAACACAAGAACGGCAAATCATATAGTAATAGTCTATGGGTTAAAATAAAGCTTATAATAAGACTGATACGAATATGAATAGTTTAGTTAGTTAACAATTATACGCCCCCAAATGACCTGGTACGGCCGAGAGTAAGAATAATAAGGAGACTCACCTCTCCCTCTCGAAATACTCTCATATGGCCAGCGAATATATAGCCTCTGCCAGGGAAGTCCTACTCACTGCCTTCTCGTGGCGGGGTGTTGTTTACGAAAGTGAGAGGACGAAAAGCGAATGTACGGCGCTTTACCCGGGTTGGTGGACACGGAGGGTCCACCTAGGGGAGTTGGAAAACCCTGATTCCAAACCAATGATGCACATGGGCTCCAGTATCCTGATGGAACGAATGGCGGACGAACCTGTCATTGGTCAATGACTACCATGAAACTGCATCTCCTCACGATGCTCCATTGCCTTGTGGATCAGACATTCAGGTCAAAGGCTCCAGGTGTGGCCCCCTAAGAAAACCACCTGCTTCAGTCTGGGCACCTGAGCAGTATCACAGCCCTCACACAAATCGAATGAGATTTGTGAGGCGCATATTTATCTGGTGCTTCCTTGTACCAATATTTATGTGTTTAAATAAATAACAATTATACAATAAAAATATACACATAGTATTGGTTCATAAGCGGATCCTCAAAGTTACCGTTCACTATTCTTATCGGGATATTACAGTCTACTTATACATCAATTCACGTTTTACTTTCTTTTTATCTGAGTTTTGTTTTCACTTACACATTGTTAACCATATTCTTCTTACAACACAACGTACTTTCAAGTTACACACAAATGATCACATATGTGTTTCTCATCAAAGGAATTGATTTTTAGATAATAATTGTAATGAGAATTTAATGAACTCATAAAATGGTGTCTGTTCATGAATAGATTATGCTTGTTTAAAATATCTATTACAAGTATGATTGTATATAATCAGCATTCAACATGATCATATTAGTTATACCGAGTTTTTCCATTCATAAATGTACGTCATTTCAAAAACGGGTAACTTAAATCTTTATTAAAATGAGAGAATGTTCACTGGACATGAACAGATAACTAATTACAAATGAAATGTTAGTATACAGGGAAAATAAAAGGGATTTTGCCAGAGAATAAGCTATAATTTGTATAAAGTCAATATTTTTGTGGTTTAAATTCTGAATATGCATCACAAATGTGTGCTTTCAAGTGATAAACACTTTGATTTGCAGATTATCACGAGTTAAATATGATTAGGAAGCTTGGTTATACTTAGTCTATCTTCAGTATACTCACAGACATGTTTGGTTGACTTCAAAACGACTGATCACTGTGTAATAAGCAATGTCCTGTATGTCTGTTTTTCAGTGCTAATAGAATTCTATTGACTAAGTTGTAATATAGACACTGGGCCAAATGATATGATGTCGCTTGCACCATGTTTCGATGTTAGGCAATTGAAAGTAAATGATAAAAGATTCTACCGGCTGTCTATAAACAATCAACGTTAGGTTATTAGGCTTCCTTCAGTCAGTTGATAACTTTTTCGTTGTGAATGACAATATAAAATCATCATCTTTTGTTTTTAACTATATTACATTTTTTTAAAAACAGAAATTCTTACCTCAGAATAAAAATCTTCCATCGAATCATGACCATTATGTGACGTGAGTTGAATTTTTATACTACTTATCTGAAAGTAAGTAGGCAAAACGTATATACTTCAGTAAATGTATATTCTTATTCCTTTTGTATACTCCGAAATTACTTTAAACCCTAACTTAAGAACCGGTAGGAAAATTTAGAAGTTTCTACATCGAATTAAATTAAAACCATATTGAGGATAAACTATATTATTATATAACTTAACATAGTACTAATGAAGTTAAAATCAGCATAAAAATGTATCGAAAACCAAATAGGACTGGTCAACTACTTTTAAATAAAACATATTTGAGATACTTCAGAAGGTCATGTTAACATACATATACAATCGATCATACACGAAACCTTCACATTTCAATGTAAATTTGTTCCATTTAAATCGTTGATGTGGAGCTCAACAGTTCAAATGTTAGTTCATTTACAATATTGCGATAACAACCGACAACGTTATTAACTGTTTCTGTCCTTCATCATTTTCACTTGAACATTTAAGATACAGTAGTGCTTTAGATGACGTCATAAGTGAAAACTAAACTTAAATCAACTTCGCAAAACTGTGATATTAGTCCGGGTACTCGTTGAATCTATATCCAGTTATTTGGATATATCAAATATCTACATTAATTTTACACCTTAGTGTGTTCTTATTTGAGTATTTAATTAATACAGAATTGGTTTGAACAAAGTTCGTAAAAATTATACCGAATGAAATTGATTTCATTGTTTCTTATCGATATATACATATTATCATGCAATTTCTCTATCTAAATTCACACTTGATTAGAAGAGTAGGTAACGAAAATTTGTCACACTGATTTTTAATCATAACAGTTGGTGTTTAATGTCTTTATCAGGTTGATAAACATAGTTATAGTTCAAAGACAGTCCACAATATGGACTGACTTCAGTTAAAGAATCACTGGAAATCAGATGGTCGATGGGCAGCTGTTTCCTTGACTTTTTTGTATACCAATGTAAATATCCACAAAATGTTATTCAACAAACCAGTGACTTATTGTACTTGGCAAAGCAATAATTTTTGGGAAATAGATTATTTTCACTGTTGAGCACTAGTGATTTAGGTTAATAAGGCATAGTTACCCTAGCCCCCAAATGTCCTAGTACAGCCGAGAGTGGGGAGTCAGTCAGCTACAACGTAGGACCAGGTACATATATGCATCAGTTCAAGTTATCATACCTCATTAGCACAACAAGATGAACACCGAAATCACGGAAGTAGTTAATTTAATGGTGATAATATATAAAAGATTGTATATAAGGATAAAGTATAGGAAGAAAGAAAGGTATGAAGCAATTTTAATCTCACAGTTTAAGGGAAGATAAAGAGTGTATACACCTACGACGTTGTGATCGATCCTGAGTGGGAAGAGTTAACTCCTCCTCTCTAAATGCCTTCACATAGTCACGTGCATACAACCACTGTCATAGAAGTCCTACCCACTGCTTTATCGTGACATTACTGTCTTTTACGTAATTGAGACGACGAAAAGCGAATGCCTGGCGTTCTAACCGGGTTGGGGAACATTGAGAGTCTACCTAGAGGAGTTGGAAAACCCTGATTCCAAACTAATGATACATATGAGCTCCAGGATTCTAAGGAAACAAATGGCGCAAAAATCAGTCATTGATCACTGGCTACCATAAGACTGCATCTCCTATAGTTGCTCTGCTATCTTGAGAATTATACATCTAGGTAAATTAAGCTCCGAGTGTTGTCCCCTGAGAAAACCACCTGTTTCGGTTTGGGCAGCCGGACAGTATCACAGCCCACACACAAATTAAGTGACTTGTATGGCTTATATGTACTTAGCGTTCCTTTGTACCAATATTTATGTCTTCAAAGAAATAATAATAAATACAATATAGTTCCATAATTTTCTGCTGAATATAAAAACAATTTGCTTCAATAATCTATAGCTTTTTTCAGCTAGAAAAAGATAATTTTACCCACCTTATTTAATAACTGATAACATTTCGTTGTTTCAGACAGTGATCTATCTAACAACTTAATCATTATCGTTTGTACAGGAGTTAAAATTTCATGATGAAACTAGAATTAAAAACAATTTAAAGGTTGAATGAAAACAATGAAAACGTTTAATAAAAAAACCAATATGAAAATAATCTTGAAAGTAATGAATCACAGTAAAATGGTTGGTCAAATCCAGCCCCAATCCAATCCCAAGCCCGAGTAAAGGAGGAGTGTTGGGTACCCCATAGAAAACCAACTCGATAAAAAAACGCTAACCAGAAAAAAAAGTAAATAAGTCCAAGTAATCGTGTAATGGACAATCTTCCAGTTCATTTTTTATTTTAAACTGTTCTCAATTACCAAGTGTTGCAAACATTTTGTGCTTTCTACAATCATGATTTCTTTTTCAAATTAAAAATAATTTTACCACCTAATTTCAAATTTAAAAAAATATGTACAAGGGATTAAATAATCCAATATCACAGCTCTTTTTAGGGAATAAATTTGCATTTTCAAATTTGAATAATCATTGGTTCTCCACGCTGATAACATGATTAAATACTAAATGCCTTCAGGAGTCACTTGGTAATCGTCTTTAAAAGTTTGTCTGCTTCACTAGATTTCATCAAGCTGAGTGATGACAATTCACGAGATAATATGCTAACTCCAGTCATCGTTCATACAGGAGCATAGACCACTTACCAACAATCCTTTACACTTGCTAGCAAATGCTTAGTTAAAACAACAACAAAAGACAAATAACTATTTATAATGATCTGTCATTGAATAGTAAATAGTATCGTTTTATTCAATAGTAAATGTTTAATTGAACTTCTTAATCTTATAGGATGATAGCTATGAACTGGATTATTCTATGCTACCTGATCTACCATTCTAATAATCAATAATGAATTTCTGAATCTTTGAATAAGCATTCAATACCCTAAAGATTTAAGAATAACTTTCTTTTAATGAATTGCACCAATGTTTGTGGCCTTCTGTTCATTGATTTCAACTTTATAAAAATATAATATGAAGTAAAGATAAGAAATGGATTTTCTCTACTGTTCTGATCTATCTTTAGATATCAAATTTTGTTGCATCTTCTTTTCAATTCATATTAAAATATACAACTAACATAATCGAACCGTTCAAATGATTGATTATTTAATGAAGACCAATATCTTATTTGTTTATTTCTGTAGTAGTAAGTAAATACTATAGACTAAGTTACAGTGTAGCTGTGGTGTGGGTTACTTATATCGGCATAAGTAGTATATATAGTGAGTAAGGAATAAAATATCTGACAGCAGAAGATGGAGAAGATCAAGAAGAGAAGAACAGAAATAGAAAGCAGTTGGTGTGGAAATCTAGGAACAATGAAGCCCGAGACAATTAAAGATCATTTGTGTTCTCAATCACTATATATATAACCCAGATTAACAGTTAAGTTAGGATTGACCATTGACAATTTATTATCCGTTACCGACAAAATCGGAGACATGTTGTAATGAAGTACTTACATTTAAAAACTACAGTGTTAAGAAATTGGTTAAGTCAATTTTATAAAACGATTCAATATGTAATATCTACGATTAGAAACATAGAAATCAGGCATTATTTTTAATTATCTACCTGTTTAATTGCATAATTGAGTTGAATTGAAGTCCATCGGCTTTGAAGAATTTGTTGCAATCCTGGTGAAGCTAAATCTAACAAAAATGGCCAGTAAGAAACTTGATCAATTCCAAGGCTTTCTAAAATGAAAAAAAATTCAATAAAATTTCTGTGTGCACACTGGCTATTTCTCAAGCTTACAGTTACTTTTTTTTAAATTAGAAGAGCAGATTACCTTAGCGACTGAATATACATTAGACCCATTGGTAATCTATATTTATAACTTTGCACACAGACTTAAGTTTGCGATATTTCTAACTGGAGATTCTTAGAAAGCACTTATTGTGAAGAATATTCTGGAGCATGATTCCACTGAGTGATTTCAGTAAATGTTTTGTGTATGAACCAGTGTTTCATAATTCAAATCAGTCTACGAGTTTTAGAAAAAATATATTATTTGTTGTTTAGAGTAGTTAGGAGTTAGAACTCCATATACTTGATTCATCTGAATCGGAATCGATGTGTGAAGACTTCATTATGAAGATGATAGGATGAAGCGTACAAAAATTGTATTCTATTTATTCATATGACTGTTAAGCTTAATATTAACTGACTTAAATGTAAATCATAGAAGGCTGAATACTGTTATAGCAGCTCACATACAACTGAGTTTGTGTAAGGACGGCTCGTCGGTAAACTCTAGGAAGCCTTAAGAAGCCGAGAAAGAGCCGCAGACATTCTATCCAATCACTGCTAGGGGAATATTCTAGAATGTCGACGTGTAGCTTCCCTATTGAATGAATAAGAATGACCCCTATGTGCCTATTGGTTGACCGAAATGATGATTTACATTCAGCCAATGACTATAAATACATGAGGTTTATGTACTATATTTTGACAATGTTTTGAGGAATATATGTACATCTTAATCCTGTTCACTGCACTGTACTGTACTCGCTTACTCGGTCGATTGGTCTCTCGCTCATTCGACTCTTACGCTCACTCGCCTGCTTTAGGGCACTACTCTTACATGCTTGCTTAATGTGCCCGTAATTTTGGATATCTGTGTGTGGTCCAATAATAAACGCAATCAACCCTTCGTATTCGCCTTCTGATTTATACACCGTCGGAGCGTTATGTAGTAACGGTTATCAGAGCGAACAATATACGAAGTTTAAGTATAATATCGAATATCGACCACCACACTGTGTTCAAAAATTCACTTTTATATTAATCAAACCAGTAGTTTAAAGACCTTTAACCCAAAATTATAATGTGGCAGTAAAATGAGATTTATTTTTACTAAAAACTTTAATAGAAATAATAAATCAATAATATTTCCTGGTAAGTACCTGCATATGGTTTTAGAAATTTATTCTTTAATTGTGCAGTTTTTTGATCAACGTATCCTCCATATTTGTGAAGTATTGCAAATGTAATGTAGTCTTGTAGTTCGCTTTGTTAAGAGAAAAAGATAAAAACTGTTCAGAAAAAATTCTGACCACTAATTATGACAATTAAACAAAATCCTCTGAGAAGACATTCATATCATGGATGCCATTGAGCTCTTATTGAAAGGCATGACTTATGTAATCAACCATGTTAAAGTTGAAAATAAATGATTATGAATAATGTTAACTAGTTAAGTGGAGTGGGAATATTGAGATTCGAACTTATGGAGAATTGATAACTTCTGAAAGTATTGAATTTCACATGTATCAAATTTGATATATAATAGGAAAATATGTCAAGAACCTTTTGAATTCCATTCATCATCTAACAATAAGACTTAGTGAAAGGATGGCTCGTTCGAAAACTCAAGAAGCCCAGAAAGAATCGAAGACATCCCATCCAATCACCACTAGGGGAACATTCTAGAATGTCGACATGTAGGTTCCATATTGGATGAATAAGAAGGACCCCCTACGTGCCTATTGGCTGTCTGAAATGATGATTTACTTTCAGCCAGAAAACTATAAATAAACGGGATTGTTGTACTATATTTGAGACTGTTTTGGGAATAAAATTCCTACTTACTAGTCTTCTGTCTTCTCTCTTGCAACGTTGCGTGTTCAATCGTCCAAGTAGTCTAGTAGTACGTGGCATAGCTAGAATCAAAGCTTTAGATATAACACTTAGTCTCATTGATATTTCTATCCGTTTCTGTGATTAGTTAACATACAAATAGAAGTACCTTGTCGTTCAGTGATATCGCATCTACAAAACTTATTATATCTCCAAATAGATTGTCATATTAATCATTGTTTATAAGGTAAACTATTTATTAGATTATATGTACACAAAAGTGAGTAGATTATTTACTCTACGTTTTGACCACAATTTGAAGCTAAGAAATATTAGTATACTAACGAAAACTTATTTACACTCAGTTTCATGAGTGAAATCTTTCAATGAATGTTTTTTGAATCAATCGTTCTCATATATAGCTGTCATTTTGATTAGTGTAGGAATGAAGTAAGATCTTTTCCGTATAACCTTCAAGAGGATTTAATAAACATTTCTCCACGATTTGTTTTCAAGTTTCATTGCGAAGTTAAGGGATCTTTATTTCAAAGACAACTTTATATAATTGATCAATTAACAGATTGTATTTGTAGGAAATTGATCTCAAAATACCACTGAAAACCAAAAAGCATAAGATGAACATCCGAGTATGAGACCCTTCAAAAGTGAATACTCACGATTTATTAATCAATTAAAAGTGATTATCTTTCTGCTGTAGTTTTATGATGAGTAAATTAGTTAGTCATTATAAATATCTTCATTGGACTTGTTATTTCAATGAAACAAAACATTAAGTTTTAAGATTAAAAAAATCCCATAATACAAACCATAAATAAACATTAAAAAACTGACCTAAACGACGTTTGTTGTAACAACCGACCCAGTTTATCGTAATAATCAATATTAGTAACCCATACTTGCATATCGCTAGGCATTATAGTCAAGTGATTCCGTGAAGTTAATTTACCCAGATAACGCGGAAAGTTGATCTAAGTGTAGAAGTAAATAAAATAAAATAATTTAACAAATGAATTTAAGCTCCAACCCCTTGTATTAACTAATGGCTATTTTAATTTAGTAGATAAGTGGATAGAGTGACGGTATTTGGATCGAACGATATTGGATTCGAGTCTGGGAGTGAACATCAACTCTGGGGTATAGGTTCATCCAGCTGACTAGCCCAAAGTGGGATGAAACGCGCGTCCTGGATTCAAATGCTAGCCTTTATCTATCTCTGCTCATAATACTTGTGACCTGAGGCAATATCAAGGCAATCCCCACAGGATGCACATATATCAGTAAAAGACTAATCAATTGCAGTCATAAACATCAATAGGAAGTTTCAAGCAAACAGTACCAATAAATTTACAAATGTTAGATTGAGTTTTATAAATAGGAACAAACCAATTAATTTTTCTCTTGGATATAGCAGTTGATAACCTTTCAGTTGTGTAGACAGTTTATCAAATGAATCATTACCTAGAAATTTTATGAAACCGGCATTATTCTTAGTTGAGTCATATCAGTCTAGAAACTAAGGAAAACTGAATTCAGCTTTTGAAGTGACTCTGGTTGACGGAATAACTTTTTAAGCTGGAAACTAATATAGAGATAAGTATCATTACCAAAATTTGACTTGATAATTTCAAATAAATGAAGTATAGGGTGGATTGTTATAAATAAAATTATTATATTGTAATATCTCAATGAGTAGAAAAATTAAATTTTCTGGCGTTTCATGATTCGCTGTAGGCCACAAAACGAATCTTTGTAACTAAAGTATATATAAAGCATTAAAAAACGATCACCATTAAACAGACCCTTCCTAAAAATGTTTTTTAAAACATTCGTCTTCTTAATAGTTTTAATTGTTCAGTTGTTATTTACATGTCTCGTACCGATTCCCTCAGATTTTGTTTGTCAATAAAATGTTTTCGAATTTTCCCTAAAATAACTTGATTAACTTATTCCAGAAACTGTCTTCATTTTTAAAAAAAAGTATAAATCTGTCTGGCAAAATTCATCTATGGCATTTGAGTATTGTTTCGACGTAGTAGTTTCATTTCACTTTAAACGATATGAATGTGAACGAGTACTAGTTTCTGTTATCATCATTATAAGCAAAGATAAATGGTGGGTGGCAGTGGAATCTAGAGAATGAGTTTCATCCTTTTCAAGACTCGTCAGCAGAATACTCGTGACTTAAGGCAATATCGAGGCGATCCTCACACGATATACATATACCAATGCGAGACTGATCAATTGCAATCCTAAACAATACCATGTGAATTTATTTGACACTATTATTAACTGATGGAATATACACAAATTTATCTAATCATATATATAAGACTTATAGGTACACTCTAATTACCACACTATTACAAAATTAATACCTACTTAATATATCCCTAGTGAAACCATACATTTCTTTCGTTTTTTTCTGTTTATTTACACGCCTGACAAAATACAATTCATTCTACGTAATATTCTATATGAAATAATTTTAAAAGTGAACGAAGAGAAAATGGGTTTTGTGGAGATCTCAGTAATTTCATAGTTGAAATCATGAGTCAATTGAAGCTAGACCACCATGGAAAACCTGGAATCACTGAATGGCCGTTCCGTCCTATTATGGGACTCCTCAGCAGTGCGCATCCATGATCCCACCACGCGAGATTCAAACGAATGAATAAGATTTCTGTTATTATCATCAATATACTACTAAATTATTATACTAAAATGTTATGCAGAATAATTTGTAATGATCATAGAAATCAAACAATCATTATATAGTACTATTTTATAAATTGGATTGAATTGATCTAAATGGAAAAGTAAAAAGAGAATTTACATAATAATCAGTATCAGTCAAGTGTTGTTAAGTATGGAATCAAAAAACTATTCCAGATTATCCACTTAAATAAAGAGTTACTTTAAAAAAGTTGATTTTTAATGTAACATATAAAATGGGACTCTAATTATTAAGTATTTTTATTGACTACTGATTTGTGAATGGTTTATAGTATTTTTAAATATAATAAGGTCTATTTATTTGCTCTTATATTTAGAGTGTAATAAGGAATTTGTACATTGAAGTATGTATTGTAATCTAAAGTTTACAATTTGAATGATTGAATTTATGAGTCGATCTAGGCTTTATAACCGTTGAAAACCTGTAAGAACAGGGCAATTGTTTCGTCCTAGTATAGGACTCTTCGACAGTGCACATTCACGATCCAACACGAAAGGGATGCGAGCTCATGACCTTCAGTCTCATACGTGAACGCTTAACCTGCAAAACACTGGACCGTTATTCAACGGTTTTAATGTCTTACTCTTCGTAGATGAGCATTGCTGAGGAGTCTCATACTAACACGAAACGGCCATCTAGCGCTTCCAGATTTTCAGTAGTGATCTAGCTTACATCGACTAATGATTTCAACTATTAAACACGTTAAAACTCCATAAATACCTATTCCAAATATAGTTTATAAGTTATTTAATGTATGATTTTAACTCATTTGCTTTAAACAAAAATTAGCAAACTACTTCAAGGCATCGCGTTGCATAAACAAGATATGTTGTTCGGATAGAATTTTTCCTAGTTAAAATATTTATTTTGAATATTCATGTTCAGTGTATCAAGTGATATAATTGCTAATATAAAATATACTTCTGGTTAAAGTGAATAATAATCATTTCATTGCTAAAATTCAATAGATTGAACTTCAGTATTAAAACAAGTCGTGCAAAGCTAGTAATAAACAAAGGGCATGCCAAGTATAGTGTAATATTATGTCTATATTGAATGAAAAGAAGATTGAAAATCTGCTCGAAATAAGCCACTAAAGATACCTCTTAGATATTAATAACCTACAATTCAACCAGATACTGTTTCACGTCTATCGAGTCTCATTAGAATATGTCAAAAACGTTTTGTTGGATCGTTAATTAAAATATAACTAGTTTAATGAAACTGAACGGAAGACTATGTATTTTTTTGATGGAAACCTCTAATTATTTTGCAATCAGATACAAAACATTTTCAATTCGGATACAACATACATTGTGGTGAGGGCTATTTATGTCCACATAAATAGCCTGGGGTTATCCGAATAGCTAGGATACGAATAAAACGTTCAACTTACGAGTCATAACATATGGTAATGGTCAGATATAGAATGTATTTTGGCAGAAGACCGATAAGCAAAGAACTGAAATGAAGCGCAATCCCTGGGAAAATGCATGAAAAATGAATTTGGAGGAGATGGACTGATATTTGCAGAAGGGAAAGTTAAGATTTAGACAATTGATTGTTATTTTGCAAATTTACTGTTTGCTATACGGTTATCAGAACTTAGTGAGATAGTATGTAATTTGTGCTTGAATATGTATATTCGATTGTCTCCAGTCGTGTTCTGTTCACTACAACATCAATTTTCCGGATTGTTTGAAAATATTTTTGTTAAAAAATATGATTTTGTTTTTAGCAATGAAACTTTTATAAACTGTACATGATTCTAATGCTAAAGTGAACTGTTTCATAAAGATATAAACCGACAGTTGTAAAAACAAAGTAAATTTATGTTGTATACTACTATTATTTGTTTTATAAGTATATGTACATTGTATAAACTCACTTATACCAACTATTTAGAATAGATATTATGACTCGAAAATGCAAAGGAATTGGCATGCAGTATATAGATACAACATGTCTAAAATATGTATATATCTAGTGTATATATCTAGTATAATGGAAAAATGATCATATTTAATGCCGATGTCAATTTATGGAAGATTTTTGTATTGCTTATAAAACTAAGTATCATATACAATTGAGTTCATTTATATTTATTAATAATAATAATAATAATAGTGATCATAGTAAAAAGAATTGTCGCCATAGAAATCTAACCAAAGTGAATGAATTAGCCAGTGGATTAACCATTGACAAGAAAATACAATCTTGAAAAATCAAATAAATGACCCCCCCCCCTTAAAAATGACTTTGTTTCATTAATTTTGTATTGAACGGAAATTAAGTTACATTATCGTTTTATGCAAAATTATACATCATTTACACATCTTTCTTTTTAATTGTCTTTTACATACACTACCATACTGTTGTTATTCTGATTATACTTTATTCTCAATCTCCTATTGGTAATCATTCTACTTTCTATTACTGTTACATACTACTCATAACTGTCCACATAAGAGGTAATTATACAAAGCATTGGCCATTTATGGTTAATACAGCTTATCGTACGATATTTTGAGTATTAAAAAATTCTTATGGTCTTATTAATGTTATATGATGAAAATAAGTATGTGCTTTCTAACAATCATACGCTAACAAACTGCTATAATTAATGTATGTACTTATCACCATTTTCAAATGAATGTAGTTTCAATAAAGGAGTTTATGAAAATTCACTTAATTTGTTGGTTGATTTTATCACATACGCATTTGGAGGATACCTTATAGATGAAGACTGTTAGGATATTCACAGGAATATCCCAAAAATTATCTCGAATGTAAATTGGCATGTTTTCAGTCTCTTCACATATTTTATATGTTATTTCCTATTGGCCATTATTACAGTTGTCCTAACTATTACTTTCATGTGTTGTTTCCCTATTGGTCAATTTTGAGTTGTCCTAATTATAATCTTTCGTGTCCTTCCTTTGCATTGGTTACTGTTAATAGTTATGGTAACTGTATAAATATGCCTTGTCTGTAAACCATTTTTATTCTGCTGCTGACCCCATAAACAATTTTCATTTGACGGCTGTGTTCTGATTTATTGGAGTTGGGTAACAGTATTGGGGTCGAACTAGAATATCTGAATTTGTTCAACCGGTAGAATTTCGTGGAGTCTTATCGCAATACGCAATAATTTCGCGACGTAACAAAGACCAAGTGGTTTTAATGAGTAAACGTGTGCTATAAAAGTCAATGGTCTTGGATTTTATCCTTGAC